ACAGCGTATCCACAGCCATCATAGTTCTCCATAAAGAAAGAGACAAAATCCCCATAAAGAAGGAAGTACGGCAACGAGACACGATCTCTCCAATACTGTTCACCGCGTGTCTGCAGGATGTTTTCAGGACCCTAGATTGGGAAGAGTTAGGAATAATGGTTAATAGAGAGTATCTATAGGAAACTGCGATTCGCTGATGACATTGCCTTGATGAGTTACTCAGGGGACGAAATACAACTCATTATTACAGAACTGGACACAAAACCCAGGTGAAAATGTGTAACCAGGAAACCAAATTGTTCTGCCTAGACGGGACAGTCACCGCTGTGGGATCAACTGGTCCCAGTTGCAGGTCAAACTGGTTTCAGCTGGGAATCAACTGGGAACAGTTAGTCCCAGTTGCAGGTGGTTCCAGTTAGCAACTGGTTCTAGTTAAAACTGAGCTGGTTTCAGCTGGGAATCAATGGGAACAATTGGTCCCAGTTGCAAATGATTCCAGTTAGTAGCTGGCCCCAGTTACAGCTCAACTGGACGCCAACGGGGACCATCACCTGTTGAACTGGAAGCTGTTGGTAACAGTTATGTTCTAACTTGAAGTGCGACAATTTGTACGCTTTTTGACCGTGAAAGATGAAAAAAAGTTGAACTCGATTGTGTATGACATAAAATTGTTGCACCTCAACAAATGGGCTTTATCCAAGTTTTTTTTCTTGTCCATGCACACAGGAGTGTACCGGACCACCAGCCTAGTAGGACATAACGGACGATAAGAAAATGAGTGTCTCATGATTTGCGAATCTATTATATTTATTTTTTTCTCATCATCTGTGCGTTGTTTTAACCTCACTGACTCTACTAAAATAAAGCTATCCTGGAATATTCAGTTGCACAAGCGCGCAAACACATTGCATTCATACGTACGCTTGTTTTATAGTCAGTAATTTCAACTGCATTGAGCTGTTACTACTATATCCCTCAAGAGGAAGGTATATAACAGCTGCATATTGCCAGTACTTAGCTACGGAGCAGAAAGCTGGAGACTTGCAAAGAGGGTTCAGCTTCAATTGAGGACGACGCAGCGAGCAATGGAAAGAAAAAATGGTAGGTGTAACCTTGAAAGACAAGAAGAGAGCAGAGTGGGCCAGAAAATAAACCGGGGTAAAGGATATCATAGTTGAAATCAAGAAGAAATGGACATGTGTACGGGGTACTTAGCACGTAGGCAGGACAACCGCTGGTCATTAAGGGTAACTGACTAGATTCCCAGAGAAGGCAAGCGGGGTAAAGGGAGACAGAAGGTTAGGTGGGCAGAAGAGATTAAGAAGTTTGCGGGTATAAATTGGCAGCAGCAAGCACAGGACCAGGTTAACTGATGGACAGTGATGCCAACCCTAGGGATTTATCCCTAGATCTAGGGGTTTTTTGTCTCTTTTAAAGATTTGGCGTCTTTTTTGTGAAATCTAGGGATTTTTTAGAGTGTTGAAATGAAACGCTATGCAGCTTAATGACTGGTGTTGCTGAGTAACCACGCGTTTTTAATAATAAGTAACTGCAAAGAATGTAATTTTTTGCTAATTTCTATTTTTCATTTCTAACTTTCCTTCGCTATTTCTATTTTTTTCGTTTAAAAGAGCATTGGTGTTGTGCAAGCCGAGAGAGGGCGACTTTGGTTCTGTAACGCGAGCATTGAGAAAGTAATTTCTTTTTCTATGACGCGAGGTTCTCGCAGTAACAACCTCTCATGTGTGCTGTCGAAGGAACTTGTCCGAACTTGTCGTCGCGAGTGACAACTTTTCTTCGCAAGTCAAGTGCAACTGTGGAAACTCTGAGGTGTGCTGTACACTCGAGGGAACTTTTCCGAACTTGTCTTCACGAGTGACTACTTGGCTTCGCGAGTGAAAGTGCAATTGTGACTTACAGTGCACGGAAAAACGCGCGAAATTCACCTCCGCTGCGCACCTTCACTGTGCAAAGTGAAGGCGCGCTCCATGTGAAATGGCAACTTCTGGACGAAGAGACTTTGAGCAAGGTGAGCCGAGTAGAAAGAAAGGGAAAGCATACGATCAAAAATATTTGACGAGATGGGAAGCTGAACCAAAGTACAAGGGATGGCTAGCAACGAGTAAAAAAGGGCCCCTGTACTTCTACTGCAAGTCATGCAACGCTGATTGCAAAGGTGAAAATCGGAAATCGACCGCCACCTCGCAAGCTCCAAGCACAGGAACAGTGCTGCAAGCTTGCAATCGACCCGCACGCTGACATCTATGCCTGCAGTAAGTGGGCAAACTCAGCTAGACAAATCTGTCAAAGAGGCGGAAATAAGGCTTGCAGCGTTCATCACAGAGCATAACCTGCCATTTAATGTCATGGGGCATTTAGTTGACGTTGTCAAAGCAGCATGCGATGATTCTCAAATTGCAAAGAATGTGAGCTGTGGCCGGACGAAGTGCACTGCCATCGTAAAAAATGTTCTTGGAGAGCAGAGTCGCCAAGACATCTGTGAACTCTTGCGCAGACAGAAGTTCTCTCTGCTTGTCGACGAATCTACTGACAAGGGAACAGTGAAGCATCTGTCCCTTGTCGCCCGAGTGATGAATGCCAACGGCGACGTAGTGGATGCGTTTCTTGACTTGGTACCAGTCAGCGACGGAACCGCCCAGTCTCTCTTCAGCAGTCTGAAGGCAGTCTTTACTAGCACAGAAATTCCATACGGAAGAAACTTGATCGGTTTCGCGGCGGACGGAGCAAACGTGATGATGGGTGCTCATCATTCCGTCGCATCGATGCTGCAAGCACAAATTTTAGGAATTTTCATTCTGAAATGCATTTGCCATTCCTTCCATCTCTGTGCCTCCTACGCGTGCAAAACACTACCGAGAGGAGTGGAGGATCTGGCCCGCGATGTGTACAACTACTTTTTGTCTCCCAAGCAGACTTCTGCATACCAGGAGGTCCAAAGGCTCGCAGAGGTGAAGCCACATAAGCTACTGCACCCGAGCCAAACCAGGTGGCTGTCCCTCCAAGTTGTTGTTACCCGCCTACTTGAGCAGATGCCGGCCTTGATTTCATTTTTCTAAAAAGCAGCCACTGAGGACCGCGTGCTTGCCGCAGAAGCCATTCTCGAGAAGCTTAGCAACCCGTCGACTAAGCTTTACCTCGAGTTTCTTGAGTACGTGCTGCCTTTTTTTACAAACCTAAACAAAGAAATGCAGTCCGAGCAAACCAGAATCCACTTGCTGCACGAAAAGGTTTCGGGCACGCTAAAATGCATACTCGAATGCTACATCAAGCGGGACTACTTAGAGGCCACGCCGTTGTCCGATGTGCAGTACAAAGACCCCGCCAAGTTCCTGCCACTAGAGGAAATATATCTCGGAGCAAAGCCAACTGCAGCGCTATCCGGTGGCACACACGGCCTAAATGATGACCAGATTCACAACTTTAGGCTGCGGTGCTTAGAGTTTTTCATCGAAGCCGCTCGTCAGATATACTTGCGGTTCCCCCTGAAAAGTCCCCAGTTGAAGAACCTTCGAGTCCTGGACCCGAAAGTTGTCATAGGAAAGACGATTTCATCAATCGCGCCCCTTGCGGTCTCATTTCCTCTGATCGTGAGGGAAAATGAAGTGAATGAACTGGACAGGGAGTGGCGTCTCCTCCGCAACATGGACCTGAGTGAGCACGCTGGCTTTACTGCGAGCCAGTTTTGGCACGCCGTATCCCAGATGCGAAGAGGCGATGGATCACAAGAGTTTCCCTGTTGTCAGCGTTTATGAAAAACATTTTGTGCCTACCACACTCCAGCGCTGCGGTCGAACGTGTGTTTTCGCAACTAAATCTGCTGAAAACAAAGCAAAGAAACAGGTTGTCAACAGACGCGTTGTGCGGCTTGCTGCACGCAAAAAGAACCTTGACGGACAGCTCCTGCTACACGTTCCAGATCACTCCATCGCATTTGAAGCGGATGAAGAAAGAAATGTATGGTGATTAAAACTTCAAAGTGTTACGTGTCACGATGTCCAGCATTTTCGTCGTCCTGCAAGCCTCGGCCGGCTGCCTCAGTAATTTGCGCATACAGAGAAGAGACTGTTGCAAGAGCATTTCAAGAGGCGTTGCTGTGAAACAAGAGTCGTCTGCTCGGAGAAGCGAATTCACATCGCTCCACAGAAAATATTGAAAAAAAAGAGCTGCAGTTGCTGCTAGTAAGCTATATCTTAACTCTAATGAGATTCAGAGCAAACGAGGCGAAGAGCAAGCTGCGTTTAGACTAATAAAGGTGAACACCAACGTGCGAAAAGAAAAAAAAAATGCAATCTGGGGATTTTGTCGGCTATCTAAGGATTTTTGAGGGGTCATTCTAGGGATAAAGCGTTGCCTCAGGTTGGCATCACTGCTGGTGGAACATTTCTCCCGCAGTGGATGTAGTAACGCTGAGGATCATGATGATGAAGCTGTCGCCAATATTTTTGCGTCCATCGTGGTGACAATGGGCGGGCGAAGTGGTTCGAGTTGATGTCAGGCTGTAATATTGCCAGATTGTCTCGGAGCGAGCATACCTGCTTGAGCGTTTTGGGTGCTTCACAGGCGCAACACTTCCGAACAACAATGAAAAAAACAAAACAAAACACAGTGCTGAGCCTGTAGCTACCACGGCCGAGACGTGCTGATATCCTATGTACCGATATCCTATTATGCTGCAAATTACAGCGCTAACGTGCATCGTACACCACCACAAACGGTGTTTCACCACAAACATCTACACCTCTCTCTCGCTTCCTTTCTCAAGTTCTACTTGAATGGCCGGCTGTGGTGACTGTACTTGCGTAACAAATTTTACGCTTAAATACTTAATAAAACAGCAAAGTACAATGAGACCTAAATACAAAATAGACTAAAATGTTTTATCAATCGCAGATTTCACAATTTTCAATGAAAGAAGTGCACAGGCAAAAAAAATTTTTTTTGGACACTGTGACGAGCAGTTTCGTAAAACACATGTGGCGAGGGCTAGCTACCGTGCCACGGATAGAAGCGCGGCGCAGTTGGGTTGTTTTTGATGAGGAACGAGGAGTCATGGCATGCTCAATTTAGGTATTTTGATTAGTGCTCGACAGTTTCATCTCTGGAAGACTTTACGACTTCATGCGAACGTCGAACGAATGTGTTAGCCTGAGACAAGACGGATGTGTGGATCCATTGTGTTCGGAAGGCCGCGCTAGCTGCCTTGTCCGCAATGCAGCCATTTGCAGGTAATTAATCTCTTCTGCTTCGAGTAAGTGAAAATGTACATATAATATAACGCAACACAGAGTGTTTTGAGAGTGGAGATGATGGAACGTTGCCTTGTAAACAATGCTTTAGACTCTGCATATTCGCGGCCATTTGTTTTGGATCGTGATAAAATATCAGTGTCTATGGCGCAATACTTGTGTTGAACAGCATGCTAAATAACTATGACGTATACTCGGGCAGGCTAACGCTCTATCCGAAGAACTAGAAAAGGGCACGTATTCGCTTGGTAATTAAATATCTCCAAACCTGTTCTCTCTGTGTGAGCTCAAGCTTTACTGCTCAGTACCCCCCCCCCCCCCCTCCTTTTTTTTTTGTCACAGAGATAACCTCGATGGTTTAAAATTAGAGTAGACCAAGACTTGATCTCTACGAATAGCGTTAAAATAATGTACAGTGACATTTATTAAAATTCCCGAGGGAATACGAATTTTGAATTGTACGTGACACGAGTTAATTGTGTTGATAATTACTATACAATGTTGTAAATTATACTGTGGTGTATCTGTACTTTTTACTGCTATGTACAATAAAGGTGTGCCTATTTATTCACAAATGTTGTTGACTGTATGTAGATAAGTGCAATCGCATGTTGAAAGGCACAATTGAGCAGAACTTCACCTATGCTTGCTTCATAAAATATCTCACAATGGTTTAGTCATCGATCAAGTCACGTATTAAGAGAGCCGCTGTTTCTGTTTACAGGAGCCGTTTGTAATTGCGACAATAGTACTTGTTTTTTGATTTATAGCAATATCGGCTTTACGATTTTCTAATGAGATGAAATTTAATTTTTAGTAGTACTGCATGTGTAAATTAGTAATTACAGTTGCACTAACAATGTAAATATTTCTTTCAGATGGTTCCGTACGTACGAAATCTACGAAATTGCTACCTTCTGCCGCCTTTCTAAGGAGGCAAATAAGGTGCTTCACAGCCCCTGTACACTCAATCTGCAAAGTTTTTAATAAATGAAGTCCAAATTCAACGCCAAGCTTCTTCGTCTATATGCATTGCAGGGGTCCACTGGTACCTGGAAACAATTGGGACCAGCTTAAGTGGTTTATGGTCAAATTTCCAGTGGAAAGCAGTTGCCAGTGGATCTCAACTGGAAGCAGTTCAAGTGGTTTATGGTCGAATTCCTAGTGGGGACCAGTTGCCAATGGGTCCCAGTTGGAACACACCGGCAACTGGTCCTCACTGGGAATTTGACCATAATCCGCTTGAACTGGTCCCAGTTGTTCCCAGTTAGAATATTTTCGCCTGAGGAATACGAAAAGTAGGTCTGGAAATTAGTATGCACAAAGTAAAGTAAAACAGTCTCGGCAGAAAATTTACAGCACTTAGCGCCGCGGAGCCGAACCATGCAAGTGAAATAACTAGATTAATAAGGATGGGGTGGATCACATTAGGCAAGCATTCTCAAATCACGAATGGTAATCTGCCACTAACTCTGAAGAGGAGGGTATATAACAGCTGTATCTTGCCAGTACTTACCTACGGAGCAGAAACCTGAAAGCTTGCAAAGAGGGTTCCGCTTAAATTGAGGATGACGCAGTGAGAAATAAAAAGGAAAATGATAAGCATAACTTAAAGGAGCCCTGAAACACCAATTTCAAGTAACCGTAGAATGAATTCACTGAAAGAGGTTATTGATTGATATGTGGGGTTTAACGTCCCAAAACCACTATATGATTATGAGAGACGCCGTAGTGGAGGGCTCCGGAAATTTTGACCACCTGGGGTTCTTTAACGTGCACCCAAATCTGAGCACACGGGCCTACAACATTTCCGCTTCCATCGGAAATGCAGCCGCCGAAAGAGGTTATTGCCTTGCGAATTCAATGCCGCAAAAATTTTTTAAGAATCTGTCCAGTTCGAGTCGAGTTACAAGATTTGTTGGATGCTGAAATTGCACTCTCTCTTCTCTCGTCGCAACAAAAACACTGGAAGCTAAGCAGGGAGGGATGGAAGGGGCAAAAAAAAAGCGTCACCTATGCCTCGTGACATTGAGCACTTTTTTTGTACTTTTTTCTTCGAATGCGTGGCTTTATCAGTGTTAGCACGAGCACGCGTGGACAAGTCACGGCCTCTCGTGGTGACCTCCGTAACGATCAGGCGTGTCATGTTCAAATCAGGCAATGACTGATAAATGGGCTTGTTACGAGTGATTTTGTAGCGTCTTTTGTCATTTGTTGAGAAAAGAGAAAGGAATATTTAGCTGGCTGTGATAACTTATTATGAATTCCAGGCCGCGTGTTTAGCTATAAAATTTGGCTCGCGTGTTGTCGGGAGCCTTTACTACCGATCGGCAGCGTTTCCTGACTATGCTCGAAAAGTGTTACAGGGCCCCTTTAAGAGACAAGAAGAGGACAGAGTGGGTCAGGGAGCGAACCAGAGTTGAGGATATCAGAGTTGAAATCAAGAAGGAATGGACGTGGACCGGGCACGTAGCGCGTAGGCAGGATGACCACTGGTCATAAAGTAAAATTGACTGGATTCTCAGTGAAGGCAAACACACGAGGGGGAGACAAAAAGTTAGGTGGGCTGATGAGATGAATAATTTTGCAAGTATAACGTGGTAATGGAAAGCACAAGACCGGGTTGATTGGTGGATCATGAGAGAGGCCTTTGTCCTGCTATGGGTTTAGTCACGCTGATGATGATGTTGATGACCATTCTGAATTTTAGCAGAAACAGAGGGATCGACGGCCGTAGACATTGTGCATTATCACCAGATTGAGATTTTGTTGTTCTGCCTGCCGAGTGTGACCTCGAGGTTTTAATAAAATGGATGACCGAAAAGGTACGTTATTATTAATTAATTTGTCTAATAATATTGGGATTTGAAAACCTTACCATAATAAAAGGCACCAAGTTGAGATTTCTGAAAAGGTCAGCCAATGGTGCATTCCTCGGTTCCTTTTTTCACAAAATTGTAACGGCGGGCAACAAGAGGCGTACCGTACATGGCACTGGTGTCACGCGGCGCACTCGTAAGCCCGATCCAGGTCAAATCTCTCAACTTTGATAGGATCCTTTCTGTCACTAGCGTAAAGAAGCCCATATTGATAGGAACGACCTTGTGACAACGGTGTTGCAAGTCATTCACGAACACAGTTTGAAGTGTGTAGTCACTGAAACAGCCACATTGAAGCATGGTGGGACGCGATCTCTGTGATGTCCCGTCATGAGCACATCGAATGCTGCTTCTTTCGCTATACATGCACGGAAGTCCAACGACCATCCAGGAGCGTCATCATCACACGAAGGGAGATTAAATCACCGCGTCACACATTGCCTTGATGTCATCTAACCGTCATGTTGCGCACCCATAACGTGACACGGAGATTCTTCAGGCGACGGTTAAAGGGCCACTCACCAGGCCCCATAACGAATTTTAGTTAGACAGTGGAAGTAATCGGGTGTTCTATGAGAAACATTTTGCCACAAAAATTTTTCGAATCGGTTCATCACTAGCGGAGGAAACGGGTTTTTTGAAGCGGCACGAAACGAAGATGAGAGGAGGCGAACTCGAAACCCTTGCCGCTCCTCCGCGTAGTCTTCGCAAGCCAAATCTCTTCCCCACTCTCTCCAGCATCTGAGCAAGAGGTGACGTGCGCTTGACGTGCCCAACCAAGTCCAACCCCCGAGAACGCGAGCAGCGTTTCTTTGTTGACCAGCGTTATTTTGTGGTCTTCTGCCTGTTTCTGCGGGATGGTTTGGAAACGCTAGCTTAGACGCGGTTGAGTAGATCAGCACAATGAGTGCGAGAATGCGTAAGAGCGTTCCACAGCGGTCGTCTGCTCAATGCGCTGACCGCGGGGACATGAACGCATGCGAAACGCTGGCACATTAGCCCCGTATCTCGTAGCACTTCACGGGAAAAAAATAAAAGAAAAACGCGCACAATTTTTATTGCGTCTCATTATTTATTTCATATTTTATTATTCTCTTAAAGCAACAAGTACATAAACTACGCATGTTGTGTTAAATATTTTTGCCATGTCACGTGGTATACTGTTGACAACGTCAGAGCAGACTCGTCTACGTAGAGGACCAACGTCACTGCATTGCCGTGTACGTAGGGCCAAACCTACGCCAACGTCATGCCCTCATTCTCTACGCGTGCGCCGGCAGAGGAGAGGGGAGCAGCTTTCTTTTTGAAATTTGACCCATTTCCGCGGCGCATAGCGTTGCAAAGCTTGGCAGACGTGATCATGAGCACCTCGTCTACGCATTGCGCTCGTCAGCACAAAATTGTCAAACCTGGTGGGTGGCCCTTTAAGAGAAACGAGGAATCGGCTTACAGATTGGTGCCCTCTGAGAAACCTACTGTCACTAATTTCCCCATCACGTGGCTATAACTACATAGGCCACAATATGCGACGTTTTCGTAGGGTAAGTAAATTTGCATGCTTCGAAAGCCGTATTGTCACCACAGGGCGAATGCATATCGAAAATATGTCTCAGTCGGCCCAGTGGTCGCGTCCTTACGACATTCTCAAACGGCACACGTGAACGCCAAACAATCAACTTGAAACCAGACGTCCTTTTCTCCCTTTTGACGGCTCCACTCGCGAAGCATGTGGGCGACCGAGTCGCCTGAAATGGTTCGGAGGATTTCAAGCTGAGCTGAACAGCTGTGCCGCCCGCGACCTCCGACGCCAACGTAGCTCTCTCCTCCTGACGTCATTGAAGCTCTCGCCGTGTGATGCCCCGTTCTCGAACTTCGTCGACCAGCTCTCCTTTTTCCTATATCCTTCTTTTTCTGTGTCACTCGCCTGTCCTATTTATTTATATAGATCCTCCCACTATTCTTTTTATCCCCTTCCCTACAAGGCATTGTGCCGTGTCGCCCTATAGAGGCAGACAGAAATTAGGTACCTTTTTTTTACTCTTCTCAAGAACCACTCACTCACTCATTCGCCTTTCTTTCCCATGTGCGGGTCTCCCGCGTCCCCCTTTCCGGAACACGGGAACTGGCTCTGCGCTTTGCAGCACGTACCCGTATACACTGCACCCCACTAGAACACGCCGCTCTGCATACCTCTTACTAACTTCTCCTTTCAGGAAATGGACTTGCTCGCTGGATTCGGGGCTGACTGGTTGTGCCCTCATGATCTCCGACGACAGCGCAGCTCTGGCCGACTGGGTTGGTCCTACGCCACCTCCTGCCGCCGGTCCCCTACGACGACGTCAGCTCAGCTCTGGCCGACTTGATTAGCCTTACGCCATCTCCTGTCGCTGACAAGAGCTCTCGCAAGTGGTGCCCGTGCTCAGAATCCTGTAACCGTGTTTTCATCTTTCCTATCTCTCTTATGTCGTCACTGGCTGTCCTTGCGCATCTATATCTCTGTCTCTCCCTCCATACCTTTAATATTATCCTTTTAATCCCTCCTCACCTCCCTGCCTTGTCAGCTACTGTTGAGGTGTCGCACGCTGATGCAGACAGTTACGGGGCTCAGTTTTATCTTCTTTTTCCTCTTATAACCACAATCTTCTTTCAGGAAAGCAGGTGCTGTTCATATATTAGTGGCTGTCTCTGGTGCACCAGGAAAACACTGTGATGGGCACTTATAAAATATGAAACATAGCATTCTTTTTTTATGATTCATTGTAAATCTTATTGTCTTATGGAATCTTCAGTGCCTTATCTGTCATTTAAAGCTGGATCAGCTTCTTTTTCTTGTTTGGCATATTTGAAGGCGCACTGATGTCCAGGAATTCTCCTAGCCAGGACCGCTCCCCATGGACGGCCTCTTTGCGGCATGAGGACCTTCCTTTTGACATGTTTCTCCGCAGTGGTGTGAGCAGCATTACCGTCGCACTAGTACCTATGGGTGGTCACTTCATTAAGTTGAATAACCCCAAAGCCATTCAAGAACACCTTCACGCAGTGTCCCCTAACTACAGATCGTAACTGACGTGCAGCAGTTTGGTCGCGGTGGGATAGTATGCAGATCGACAGACCAGGAATGTTTAAGA